AGGCCAACTTCACGGTCCAGTCACCGGGTACATGCCCTGCAGCTGTCAGCACGTGGCCCTACAGCTGGACATGCAATTTCCTCCCCTGTGATACCCTGGTGTGAGATACTGGGACAACCTCCAAGGAAGAAGAACCCTGTGCCCCATGTGACCCCCACCTCCGGGGAGAATGGAGCCCCCCACCCTGCTTCATCTAAGGCCAGAGAGGTCCCCACAATGGTTCCACGGATACCAAGCCCCTGGGACTCGCCATCATCAGTGGTGGCCTCGTTAGCCAACCTTGTCCCCACAGTGGGCTCAGACAGGTCCTTGTCTGTAAGAGCGTCTAGCACTTAGGATCTATACATCTTGTGCAAACATCTCTCAGTTCCAACAGCTGCAGCAGCCCCCAAACCTCAGGAACCCAGTTCTGTGCCCAGCACTAGCTACTGCCTGCTTCTCACAGAATGTCCCCCCAAATGGAAGAGTGCCACTCACAACCCTGCTGGACACAGGAGCAGATGGAGGTTCAGAGTGAGTGAGAGGCTCACCCTGAGCCACCCGGCTTCCGAACAATAAAGTGGGGTTAGCCACCAGGTACGCAGGCCTCCACCCCCCATTCTCCATACGACCTCTCAATACAAACTCTTGCCCCCTCCAAACCTACCCTGCCGCAGCGCTTCCTTCAAACCCTTCCTGAAAGGCCACACGCCCCAGAAAGGGTTCCAGACTTTTGTCCCTCAGAGAGAGTGCGCCCCACTTCTCGCGAGATGACTGGCTCAGGTAACCCTGTGTGGGGTGCTTACATATCTATCCTCCCTGTCTAATGAACTTGCTCGCATGGGAACGACTGTTGGGCTCACCTCTATACCAAACTGAAGATGTCAAAAGCTTTGGGATTCATAAAAGAGGCCAATCCCTCTTCACTGCAGACAGCCCTGGCACCCTGGGGCGCCTCTCAGCGGCCTCCTCCGCCTCTTGGTAGCTGCACTAATGGCAGGGAGACAGCAATTCCCAGGAGCTTGGAGTGTGGGCTGGAAATCTCCAAGAGTCATCGCCCAGAAGGCCCATGGGCATTAATTAAAAGGACGGATCTTCAGCTGCCTGCAAGAGCAGGCCTTCCTCCAAGGAACAAAGTGGCACCCAGGTCCAGCCATCACCACCACCTTGTCCCAGAGGTGTCTGCATGGCCCCTGCCTTCTTGGCCACCTCTCTCCTGAAGGGGAGAAAGGACCACAGAACCTCCAGGACCCAGTGTAGAAGAACCTCCTCCGGGGCATCAGAGAAAAGCCTTGCCACTCGGATTGGAGTGCCTGGGCTTCTGGGCCAGATCTGTTTCAACAAACACCAAGCATTTGCACGCTCACAGCAGGGTTGTGAGCGTGCAAAACTGGTTACAGCCAACGCCGTAAGACAAGGGGCCCAGCAGCTGGGACTGCAAGTGGCTTTCGTTACACGAGGACTCGGCTTGTAACTGTGTTTGCGATGACAGACCTGGCCTTCGTTCAGGAAGAGCACACCATCCAGCTTCCCCCCCCCCCCCCCCCCCCCCCGCTTCTGCTGGCCAGGAAAGGAGAGAGGAGGGAGTGTCTCCTCATGCCACCCAGTCACACAGCGTGGTGGGTGTCATCTCATGGGAGAGAGGTGGGTGCCAGAGTCACCTCATGGGGGGGGTTCCACTGTCAACTAAAAACCCTTTATGTTGAGAGGAAATCACGGACAGATGAGAAATTAGCACGATTAAACCCCGAATCAGCAAAATAAGAAGTATTTTTTCACCCCTGGAGGACAGGAGAGAGGCGGAAGGGAGCACCTTCCTTGGAGGGACGCAAAGGCCAGATCAGACACGGGAAGTTCGTGTCCTTGCAGGGCCCTGCCACCCTCTCAGTCCCAAGGGACAGAAAGACCGAAGCACCTGAATCCCTACAAGGCCTCCAGTGATGGGCACACTGGTCCCTGGGGGACGATGGCAGAGTGAGGATACATGGGGGAAGGATGGAAACAGATGAAAAGGGGGAAGGAGAAATGAGGTGAAGACAAAGCCCAGCTGCATTCCTACCCCAGCACAACCTCACATTGTACCCACCAGCCCCGCCCCTCGGAGACCAGGTGTCTCCTGCCTGGTACAGCTGCCAGTTCCAGACTGCCTGGACAGGAGGGCAGGCTCTCTGCTCTATTTAAAAACAAAACAAAAACAAAAACAAAACAGAGACACACAGAGCTCCTGCCCTGGGGAGGGCATCTGGGTCCTGCCCTCTCGGCGGACCACAGTGCCCCATGTCATGAGCCTGTCTTGTCCAGACTCACAAAGGGACTGTGGGCCCTAGCAGCTGCAGCCAACATGGCTCTCCCCTCCCTCCCTCCCTCCCTCCCCCAACTACCTGGCAGAGCCCCACACAGCTGGCGGGTGGAAGCAAAGGATGGGCACTTCCCTGGCTGATTCTGGCCACGTTAGCATCAGGAAACACCCGCCCTTCTGGGCTGGCCCCTCCTCACATGAGGTCTCCCTTCCTCACTGCCTGTGGGGACAGGCTGGCCAGAGAGCTGTCTCTCCTCACAGGTCCCTACCTTCACTCAAGCCCTTGCCTCGCCATCTCCCACCTTCTCCCTGCCAGTCTCCTGTGACCTCTCTGGCCTGGATTCAGGCTGCCAGCTCCTATCACCTGTGCTGGGCTGGGTCACGTGTTCCCCAAGTCCCTCCATCAGCCCAGCTGTCCCAGGCTCCCACATGCACACCCTCTCCACATACCAACTCAACTCCACGTTCCTAGGACACTTGGAAGGACACTTTCCTTTCGGGGTCCTCCATTCAGTGCACAAGCCCCCCCCCTCACACACACACACACACACACACACACACACACACACACCAACAATAACAACAGCCTCCAGTACTGATGGCCAGGGGCTAGTGATGCTGGGCACTGGAAGGCCTGCCCCCATCCCCAGCTGAGCTCCTCAGGATCCACCGTAGGAAGACTGGCACACACAGGGAGGCAGAGACGGACGGGAGGCCCACTTCCCCAAGTCTGCCCACCTCTATACCAGGATGCTCTCAATGAGGCCATTGTGTTGGATTAAATTTGAGGGTCAAGAAGCTGGCTTGGGAGGCAGCCCAGTCAGGCCATGACACAGTGAGGAAGGAGTTACACAGGGAGGCCAAAGATGCAGGGGGCAGCCAGCCTCCAAAACGCAAAGGGTACCAGCTGCTGAGATGGGCCCAACCCCCACACCTCTCCCTACCCAGCAAGGCTGCCTACAGGACCCGCTCCCAACTCTTCAGGGAATGAAAGCCAACCCTGACTGCCCCCCAGGTCTGGCGCACTGAAGAAGGTGGTGTCCCCCCCACCCCACCCCCAGGTCTGGAGCAGAGAGCAAACACAGAGACCAGGACCTGAAGAAGGTGGTATCCCGCCAGCCCCCCCCCCCACACTTTGCAGAGAAGCGTACTGATTGGCTGCCTTTCAGCTTACACTCCCAGGAGAATGAAAGGCCCCAGGGCAAAGGAGAGGTACACAGAGGAGCCTGGACAGTCACTAGGGCATGCAGAAGATAAAACAGAACAAAACAAGCCTGGGAGACCCGAGAATAGACATGGACTCCAAGAGGTCCAGGTGGTCTGGGGCACAAGTTCTGCTAGAAGCACTTCGGTTCTGAATTGGCACAGATGGAAAATGCCAGAAGAATCCAAAAACTGACCCCCATTGCTGAGGTGAACAAGTAGGTGTGATATTCCAGGCTCCTCATGGTATGTGCCTGCCGGCATACCAGCAGCCACCAACTTCCCAGACTCTGCACACACAGCCCAGTACACAGCTAAGGATCTGGTCCCCCGAAGAAGTCACCCAACTCAGAGATAAGGCTGACCTTGGGTGGGCTCAAGACAAACCCTCTGGTTCCAGCCCTGGGGCTTGGAGCACCCCCAGCAGGACACTTGTAGGGCTAGGGCAGCTGGCCTGGAACCTGGCCCTCTGTTAACTCTGTGGGGCCCTCCCTCGCTCGCTCACAGCCCACCAGAGGGCTCTGCCCAAGGCTGCCTGAGAGCCCCTCAGAGGGGCGGGGGCTCCAGGCCCGGCAGAGTCAGGCCCGCCTCTCGGAAACCCAGCCCCAGACGCGCGCGGGACACCATTGTGTAAGCCTCCCTTTCCACTGGCTTTATTTACTCCGGAGGAGGACGCAGGACTCGGGGCCACCGCACCGGCAGTGGCAGTCACGAGGCCCCAGGAAAGCGCGCGCATGCAAGCCCAGGGCGGGGATGGCAGGCCCACCCTTTGAAACGGGCCCCCAAGTATCTATGCACTTTGTAAACTCAGGACAAGAGACGAAAGTGTTGTCCTTGCGCGCGCACAAGCTCCCCTGTCCCAAAAGGCTCCTTCCGTCGCAGATGGATAAAGATGTCCCAGGCTTGGATCTGGGCTATAGCATATCCCACCCTGGACCCTGAGACTCGCCCGGCTGGGATCCCCTTGGATGCATGGGGCCTGCCGGCTGATCAACTTTGGCAACCCATGCCAGCCCCGGGACTGGGCTCAGCCCCAACCCCGGAGCTGGCGTGGGGGAGGGGAGGACGGTCCACCCTGAGGATTCAGCCGCCTACTGGATCCGAGGAGGGGAGCTAACTCCCACGCTGATGAGAATTGAGGGCGAGCACCAAAAGAAGAAAGCCCACTAGTTTCCAGGGGGGAATTACGCTCCCCCGGTGTAGTTCCAAGGAAGGCAAGCCAGCCCTAGAGGAGGCGACAGTAGCTGGGCAAACACAAACAACAATAAAAGGAAGAACACCCCTGAGGCAATGTGAACCTTGGGTTCCGAGGGGGTGCGTGGTTCCCAACTACAGAGTCTATCAACTAACAGGATCCCTTAATGGCGCTCTCCATGTAGGCAACACGGGGTCTGGGGCGCAGAGCCCCAGGGTGAGCAATCCAGGGTCTTGCCTTTCCTCTGCTCGCTCCTGTCCCATCCCAGGCCCGCCTGGAGGTTCCTGCCCAGCTCGCCAAGCAGTCGCTGGGTCGGGCACCCACCTTCAAAGTCTGAAATGATCCCGTCCAGCTGTGCGTTGACCGCGGGGTCGGACATGGTGGCTGGTGCGCAGGGAGTCCCGCGGAGCCCCGGCTCTGCGCGCTCCCGCTCCCAGTGCCGAGCTGGCCGCCCGAGCCCCTCGGCCCCCACGGTCGGCTGAATGAATGGGGGAGGAAGGCGGGCGCCGGCCCCTCCCCAAGCACCCGGGCCCCCGCCCCGCCCCCGCCTCCCGGCTGGATCAGGTTCCCGCACCCCGCCGGCCTCCGCGACTCCGCACTGGCTGTTGCGCCCGCCTGTCAAAACCGAGCCTTGGGGGGGGGTTGCAACCAGAGTTGCTTCTACAGGGACTCCGGAGTCCCAGGCACGGCACACGACCTGAGCTGGCCCCCTTCTCCCTTCCTGGCGAGTGCCCAGGGGACCGCGACAGACACGGCCTCGGCCCCTCCCCCTCACGCCCCTCCGCGGCCAGATGTGGGCGGATGTGGAGGATGTGGAGGCCGGGCCACAGCAGCGGGCGGGCGCCGAGGGGGACGAGATTCCTCCCCTTCCCTGGGCGCAGTGTTCTTGCTGCCGGAGGTTTTATTTACGCAGCAAAGTTCGTGAGCGCCTCCTTCATGTAAGAGCACGGGGCCTGCAAGGGTTAAGCGGCAGCGCTGGGCTAGTGCGTGTCCCCAGGACACTACACTATTGACTACAGAGCTGAGGGTCCCGGGAATCCCCCAGCATCCAATCCATCCAGAACTGCTACCCCCTTGGACCCCCGGGGGTCGCTGCTGAACTCTCTGGGTAGGTGCTGAAGAAGGCATAGGGCAGGGAAAGGCGGCCCTTCAAAGAATCGTTCCCGCACCCCTCCCCCCTTGCACTGTGGAGGCTTCCTGAGTTCAGAGAGTGGACCGCGACCTTCCCTCCAGAAGAGAGAAACCATAGTTCCTAACATCAGAAGGAAGGAAGAGGGCTGCTCCTGGGCTCGTTCCTCATCCGTGGGTACCCACAGTTTGGCCTATTCTCTGCCCAAGTAGCCTTCACACCTCAGACATCACTGGGCAGTCAGATAAAACCATGGGTTAGCTACAGAAGCAAGGCACCAGTTACCAGGAAGGGTCCCCAGAGAGGGCCGGGGTGTTTCTCCGCTTCCTGACCGGGCCATCGAGTTTCCCACCCACTGACCAGGGACATTAGGTCCAGGACCTCTGTACAACCAGGGCTGTAAGGATGCACAGCAAGGGATAAGTGCTTGCCAAGTGTGTGGGTAGCCCAGCCCCCTGGTCCTCGGGGGTGACATGTGAGTCCCTGAGCTGTCCTGGGTCTGGGTCTGCTCTCCCTAGTCCATCATTCTACCAGTGTGGTAGTGGGGTGGAGTGGGTCCTGAGACCTGCAGAGGCAGGTGAGGCTAAGGAGGTCTCTGTAAGAGAGCCAAAGCCTAAGCTAGGCTTTTGTTTTGTTTTGTTCTTTTAAAGTGCTGGAGTAGAGTCCTTCCTCTTTCAGAAAATCCACCCCTCCTTCCCTCATGCCTCAGATGGTTTAAACTATTTTCAACCGAGTGAGATTTGTGGATATGGGAACTGCAAAACCATGGCCATTTTAGATGTGCATGTGCGCCCACACACACACACACACACACACACACACACACACACACACGGGCACGCACACACACACACACACCCTTCTGAAGCCTTACTTCCAGGAGCTGTGGGCACCCCTGCGCCTGGACCTGCCTGGCAGTCTGACCATCAACCGATCACCTATCTGCCCTCAGTTTAGGGATGTCAGGGGTCCAGTCAAAAAAGTTAAGGCCCATACCACAGAGCCCTGGGAAGACGCCGGGGCGCTGGGACAGCATCCAACCTGGGCGGGCCTTATTCACTGGGTTTTTTTTTTTTTTTTTATAAAAAGCACCTGGTAAGTGGAGACACGCCCGTGTGATTGTTCTCCCCAGGGCAAGCGCAGATTAGCAGAGGTGAAGCTCATTGTTGGTCAGCCCTGTATCCATGCAGGGAAGCCAGGCACAACACAGGGTTCCAAGAGAACCCAGCCTGGGTGCAGGCTTCATGGAGTGCTCCCCTCAGGGACTCCAGAGGACCTCCACAGCCAGTACACCCCTTGCGAGAGTGGCTGCAGAACCCAAGCAGCCCATCCCTCACTGTAGCCACACAGCCCAGATATCAGACCTGAGAACCCACTAGATGCTGAAGCTCCTCCATCAGGAAAGCCAAGGCAGGTTTGGCGACCCTCCCAATAGGAAGTTCACCCTGTGTCTCCTTTCTTTCTGTCCCCAGAGGACATGGGAAACAGCCAGGCACCTACCTCCCTTCTCACCATAATTACCTTCTCCAAACAATCTTGCTGCCACTTGGCTTTGCTCAGCTTGAACCCCACCCCCACCCCCTTCTCAGCTTGAACCCCACCCCCACCCCCTTCATCACCCCAACTGTGGCATCCTGGGATTTTCATAAGGCTGGTTGGCCACCCAGTCCCCTCTGTGGGGTCTTGGGCCGCATAGCATAAAGGGGCTGGAGTGTAGAGTTCAGAGTTCTCTAATCCAGGCTGCAAGAGGAGGCAGGAGACCTAACGGAAGGGATGCTGGACTCCAACTGAAACCCAGCAAAAGGCCTGCCTGCTCATGGGCGTGCCCGGTTCCTGTCCACCCCAAAGACAGCATGCGGTCGATCGACGGACTTTCGGAATGTGACCAGACGCAGCCTAAGGGTCTGTGCGGATGTACTGCAGGTGACACACATCCCAGAGGTTACCTGGGGTCAGCATGTGTCCTGGATTCAAAGACCAGATCAAAGATAGAGAAGAGCCCTCTCAAGTCAGGAAGCAGAGAGGGGCAGCCACAGGCCAAGATTCACCTGGGGCCGTATGGCACACAGCCCTGCAGACACATGAGAAAGTGTGGCATGCTGGCCTTGGAGGGAACAACTTTACTGTGGTGAGAAGCCAGCCAGTGTATGACAGGCAGCTAAGTTAGTACAGCCAGGCCTGCGCTCACACCTGACACAGTAAGTCAGAGCATCCTATGACAAAGGCCGCCCGCCGGGCGGGCGCAGGTGGTGGGCTGGGCCGCTCACTGTCTTCACTGTCTTGGGGGAGGGGCTAAGAACAAGAGTCTGCTGACTTGCAGAGATGGAAGCACCCGCAGACCTTTTTTCTTTCCTTTCCATTTTTTTTTTTTTTTTTAAGGGTTGGCAGGGGTGGCGGGAAGAAACCCACAGGTTCAGCCTGGGGAATGGAACACAAAGCCTGGGAAAAGAGGGCGCAGGAAGGGCTTGCGGAAACAACCGCTGGGCGTCCACATCAGGATCCCTGACCCCTGAGCCCAGGTACAACCTCAGCCGGAAGCGAATCAGCGGTGGGGGTGGCCTCCTCCGGGAGGTCGTGGCTCCCTGCCCAGCAGTACTGTGCCTTTGGACAGGATGTTCCTCCAGTCAGTGAGTGACAGGACCGGCCTCCTCATAGTCCGAGACTACAGCTCATCTCCGCGTGGGGCCAGTCACACTGCAGGTATAGTGCTCGTGGACTTTAGGACCTTCCACGGCCCCGAAGCTGTGGAAGTCGCCATCGTGGCGAAAGAACCACTGTGGCCTACCTACCAAGATGCCCAAGCCAAACATCTCCACGTTCTCCTGCATTGTCCTTCCTCCACCCTCAGCATCATAATGGCTGGCCGGGGTACCCCAAGAAGCAACCTTCTCTAGTGTCTAGCTGGATGCTATTTAACAATGGCAATACAAGGGTTAAAGAAAAATAGCATTTGCAGGACCTGAAACATTTCCCTGTGAGACAAGAGCTCCCATCCTGGCCAGTTCCAAGCTGCCAGTGTGACATCTTCTCCCACACAGATGCAAACAACCCAGCCGCCTGGGATGTGGCTGTGATGGTGGAGCCCGGGTTAAAAGGAGTCTTACTTAAATTACGTTTAGGCAGTTTATTTATTTTAAATTATGTTTACTAATTTTGTGTGGATGTGTGTCACACACATGTGTCACACACGGGGAGTCAGAGGACAACTTGTGGGAGTCAGTTCTGTCCTCTGCCAGGTAGGTTTTGGGGACCGAGCCCAGACCTTGAGGCTCGGCAGCAAGCACCTTTACACCTGAATCATCTTGCTGGCCCTACATAATCTGTGTCACTAATTAAGCAATGCATTTTTTCTTTATTACTCATTATTCTGGTCCGTTTGTTTTTTTAGACAGGGTCTCATTGTGCAGCCCAGGCTGTTCGCGGACTGTGACAGTCATCTTGATACATGAATACACTCAGCAGACACTGGCGTCGCTTCTGCTTTGGGCCGTCGTCATCGTAATGGACGCTTCAGTGAACATGGAGATGCACGTGTGTTTGCCTATTCCCGCCCTCCTCCCCGTGTAGACTCAAGTATAATGGCAAGATCACAGATCGCGTGAGAATTCTACATAGTTTCATTTAAAACAATAACTCATATATTTTACTGCCCTTTAAGCTTATTTTATGTGTAAATGTGTTTGCCAGCATGCACGGTCTGTGTACTGTGTGTCTGCAGGAGCCCACGGAGGTCAGAAGAGGGATCCCCTGGAACTGCAGTTCTGAACCCAGGTCCTCTGCAAGAGCAGTAAGTACTTTCTACTACTGAGTCATCTCTTCAGCTCCTGTAATTGATTGCAAGCTTGAAAAACCCCTCCAGTTCATATATGACTAGCTATCTAATTTCACATACAGCCATACAGCTGCTCCCGGTCCTCACAGTCTCCACCCTCTGACTGCCTTGCTTCCCCCTTTCCAGGCTCCCCCAGGCTCCTGACTGACAACGTTCACTGTCCCTTCCCTCCTCCCGGCTGCCACTGCCAGGCTTCCCAGCTCAGACTGGATGCCTCACAGGCCTCGCTCACCCTGTAGGAAACCCTCACCTCCTCTGCCAGCAGCTCTGGCTTCATCCCCTCACTAACTGCGCAGGCCTCCGCTCAGGCCAGGACATTTATAACAGTCATCTCCTCCATCCACGGGGACATCTCTCCCAGCTCTTCTCTGCAGTGTCTGTCATTCCCATCCCTGACAACAGCATGGCCATCCACAGTCCCCACCCACCCACCCCCAAAACCTCAGACACACATCCTCCCTCACCTCCAGACATGCTACCCAGGCTCCCCAGCTGGGACTCAGTCCCACTGAGTGGCAAAGCCCAGCTTTCTTTGCTGGATGACAGAATCTTGTGGACCCCTTATGGAGGAACTGGTCCAAACAGGCAAGAAGGAGGAAGAGCACTTACAAGGACTTCACACACTGCACTCAACCACCGGGGCCTAGAAGAAGCAGGGTCACAGGCAGAGTGAATGCTGCTCCCACCTGGGCCACTCTGGGGCCCTTTCTGTCAGAGCAGACTCCATCGAGTCCCCTGCAGGCTGCAACTCTGAATCTCCCGCTGAGGCAGCCCCAAGGTGGGCTCAGCTGTGTGTGTGCAGGCCACAAAGCCCGTCTGCTGGAGACATAAGGCCTCCCTTCACAGATGCACATGGCCAGTCTCCCTTAACGTCACAGTCCCCAGCCGGGCCTGCCTCACGCTGAATGTTTACAAAAAACCTGACCACAGTGCCTGGGCG